ATAAAGGGCAAAATTGGCATAAGTTACCTGTAGTAACTTAGAAGACAGAAAACATACCTAATGAATTTATAAACATGGTTTAGGAGATTTCCAGTTTCAATCACCAAAGAAAATATCAACTGGCCTTTTTAGCTGCGTATGATAAGGTGTGGGGAGAAAGAAAGAAAATTAGGAAAGAACTTCTCAGTTTGCATGTGGAATCTAGAGGAAATACACAGAGCCTAAAATGTGCCGGGTTAGAAACTGTTTCCCATTTTCATTCTTTCCAGCCAGTGAAAGAGTCTCGTAGTAAAATACAACTTATGGATAAAGATCAAATCAAGAGAATTACTGTGCAACCCTGTATTAAGACCTCAAAAATATCTAAGATGGTGTGTTGTAGGCACTCTAAACTAAACAAAAGAACTTTAAGAACTTCAAGGGCATTTTACTACAGCAGCCTGAGCCACCCAAAATAGAGAGAGGCCTGTCTGGGAAATAATTATGGATGTAGTTTTTTTTTTAATTAAAAAAATTTTTTGGTAATATTTATTTATTTGTTCGTTCATTCATTCATTCATTTATTCTGAGAGAGTGCATAAGCGAGAGGGGTGCAGAGAGAGAGGGAGAGACAGAGAGAGAGAGAATCTGAAGCAGGCTCCACACGGTCAGTGTGTGGAGCCCTATATGGGGCTCAAACTCACAAACTGTGAGATTAAGACCTGGGTCAAAACCAAGAGTCATATGCTTAACCGACTAAGCCACCCAGGCACCCCTGGATGTAGTTTTAGAACATGGAGTGAACCCAATCAGATTCATAGGAAACCCAGAAAGTTTCTGGGGTAATTGCATCACAAAGAGTATCACCAGCTTGAATTGCTGAGGCAGTTCAAAACAAACGGGGGCCTCTGGAACCTCAAATTCCTATTGATCGGAAATAGGCTGAGAAAGCTATTTAACTGCAAACATGGGCTATGTCTTATGGAAAGGAAGATGTCTCAGAGAGCAGAACTGAAAGCCCAGGTGGAAGAGCCAAGTGACAAGGAGAATAATGGACTAGGAAACCACACACAGGGGTAAAACCATAGCCTAATCAAGGAACATTCCATACTTCAGAGTAGGGGACCTGCTAAGGTATAGCCAGCTGGCTTTCAGAATTGCTATGGGCTAGTGACTGTTATGTGCCTCTCATTTCTCCCCTTGTGCAGCAAGGGTGTCTACTATGGTTATTTTATCCCTGCCTCACCATTGCTTGTTGGGTGTGTTTGGGGGTTGATAATGTGTGTTTGGTTGACTAGTCCCTGAACTGGAATGATTCACACCTGGGGAAACTTGACAACATCTGGACATGGCATATGCCTCAAAAGCCCAAACTTCAAGCTTCATGTGGTGACTGAGATGACATTTTTGGGTCCTGAGAAAACAGTGAGAATATTGTGCCTGCGGGAGGAATGTGAATAATCTGTGGCCATAAAGGACCTGTGCTAGAGTGTTCAACAGTCGAAAACTGCTTCCATCTTAGTGTGCACAAAAGTAGAGTATATTTCTAAATCACATTTAGTGTCAGGCTGGTCATATAACTTGCTTTGATCAATAGAATGCAGCATGCAAATTTTAGAGCCTATTCCTGAAGAGGTCCTGTAGCTTCTGCCTTTGATTTCTTATAATGATGCCCTGTGACCACTGTGTGAGGAGGCCAGTCTAGCCTAATGGAGGATGAAAGACCATGTAAAGCAGAGTCAAGGAATCCCAGCTGATAGCCAGCATCAACTGCCAGACATTCAAGTCAGTCTATCGTAGACTGCCCAATTCAAGTGACCCTCTGCCTGTATGTAGTCACATGAGTGACACCAGGTGAAACTGTAGAGGAACTGCAGTTCCAACCCACAGAGTCATGACAAATAATAAATTGTGGTCCTAAGCCACTTAATTTTAGTGTAGTTTTTGTTTGTTTTTTCACATAGCAGCAGATAAATGAAACAACCCTGATCTTAAGATCTTGTAATCTATAGGAAAAAATAGACAAATAAGCCAGTAATAATCACAATAAAAGGTGGCGATCTTTCTAACATGGAGGTGCAGAAGGCCTATGGGAGCATATAGCAGGAAAATGAAGGCTTGTTTAGTGGGGAGGTATGGCTGTATAGAGGGAGGAACATTCATCCTGAGATCTGAAAAATAAGAGGCATTTTTATCCATAGGGATAGAGGGAATGTAATATGCAGTGACCTCAAGCTAAGAAGGCATTTACTCAAATTCAGCATGGTTGGTACATCATGGGAGTCTAGTTAACACTACCTGAATGAATATATAACAAGGCATCAGACCTCCTTAAAGTATACCTTGCTGATGCATTATCACTACAAAGTGGGTTATGGAATTATATTCTGGGTATGTTTATGATAATTCATGTGTGCTTTTATGTAGTTGTTTTTGGCTAGATCATCAGTGTGGTTTAATAATAGTAGTTACTGAAGACCTACGATGAGTCGTGGGCTATGATACGTTTTCTACATTAATTATTTTATTTCCATTTATAACTGCCTTGCAGGGTAGAGTATGCCCTCATTTTCTTTCTTTTTCAAAACTGAAGTATAGCTGATACACAACGTTACCTTAGTTTCAGGTGTACAACACAGTAATTCTGTCATGCTATGCACCACAAATAGCTGCCATCTGTCACCATACAGCACTATGACAATACCATGAAGTATATTCCTTATGTTGTACTTTTCTTTCCCATGACTTACTCATTCCATAACTGGAAACCTGTACCTTCCACTCCTCTTCACCCGTTTTGCCCATTGTCCCACTCCCCTCCTCTCTGGCAACTATCAGTTTGTTCTCTGTATTTATGAGTTTATTTCTGCTTTTTTTGTTTATTCGTTTGCTGGTTTTTGAGTATGCCTCCCCATTTTATAGCTAAGGAAATTAAGGTTCAGAGAGATAGAATGAATTGTCCAAGCCCTGAATCGGGTCACCATGAGATCTAATAGACTTGTTTCTGGGGTCCACAAAGTCAGAACTGTGTTTATAATAATACTAAGACATTAATTGCCTTTTTCACTATGTTGGCATTTGCACTTAGATTCCTGGAGGGTTCTCACTGTTCCCTAATTTATAAGAATGGCTCAATATACTTAAATTGCTTCGTGCAAATATTATAATATACACTGAATACCTGTCTTCCTTCTGGGAAGTTGGGAGTCATAGTATATGCTAGAGATGTATGGTACCTACATCCCTGACCCCATAAAATTCCTGGAGTCCTAAGTTTAGGTTTGCTTTCCTGGTAGATAAAAGGCTAACTGGTTGCCACAATTCATTGCTGGAAGAAGAACTGAGCATGTCTTATGTGTGATTCCACTGGGAGAAGACTCTTGGAAGTTTGCACCCAGTTTCTGCCAGACTTTGCTCCATGTGCCTTTTCCCTTTGTTGATCTTGATTTGTAGCCCTTTGTTATGATAGATCCCACCTGTGAGTACAAACACATGCTGAGTCTTGTGAGTGCTCTTAGCAAATTACTAAACCGGGTGGGGGCGGGGCGGGGTCTTGGGGACGCCCAACACACTAAGTGAAATCTAAACAGGATGAATTCCCCAAAATCCATCTCAAGACACATTATATTAAACTACTCAACACTAAAGATAAAGAAAAATCTTGAAAGCAGCCAGAGAGCAGGGACATGTTACCTGGAAACATTACCGAGGAACACCCATTCGAACGACTGGATTTCTCATCTGACACCATGGGGGCCAGAAGAAGGGGCACAGCCTCTTTCAAGTGTACATTCTTTTTTTTTTTTTTTTTAATTTTTTTTTTCCAACGTTTATTTATTTTTGGGACAGAGAGAGACAGAGCATGAACGGGGGAGGGGCAGAGAGAGAGGGAGACACAGAATTGGAAACAGGCTCCAGGCTCTGAGCCATCAGGCCAGAGCCCGACGCGGGGCTCGAACTCACGGACCGCGAGATCGTGACCTGGCTGAAGTCGGACGCTTAACCGACTGCGCCACCCAGGCGCCCCTCAAGTGTACATTCTGGATCTGGCTCACCAACTTGTTTAGGAATGAGACAAAAACCTCCTCAAAGGAAAACTCAAAGAATTTGTTGGTAACAGAGCTATCCTTAAATACTGACTAAAGAAGTTTCTTCAGACAGAAAAGAAATGATAAAAGAAGGAATCTGGAGCACGAGGAAGGAAGATGAAACAAGAGGAAAACAGAACTCTGGGTACAAAGAAGAGAGTGTCCTTTTCCTCATGGCTTTTATAAATTATATTTGATGACTGAGACAAAAATTAGAATGCCATCTGATAATCAATGATATTTAAAAGCGGGGAAGGTAAAGGTACCTAAATGGATGTAAGGTTTCCACATTTCACTCAAAGTGGTAAAATGTTGGGGCACCTGGGTGGCTCAGGTGGGTGAGCATGCGACTTTGCCTCAGGTCATGATCTTGTGGTTTGTGGGTTTGAGCCCTGTGTTGGGCTCCACACTGAGTGCAGACCCTGCTTGGGATTCTCTCTATCTCTCCCCCCTCTCTCTCCCCCTCTCCCACTTGCACACACATGTGCTCGCTCGCTCTCTCTCGCTCAAATTAAATAAAAAAATAAACTTTAAAAAGTGGCGAAGTGTTATTAGTTATAAGCCATATATATATATAGTTATAAGCCATATATATATATATATATACACACACACACACACACACATATGTATATATATGACACATGTAAGTATATGGTAATACTCAGAGCAACCACCACAAAAACTGTAGAAAGAAATACACTCAAAAACACTATAAATTAATCAAGATGGAATCCTAATAGATGCTCAAGTAGTCCACAGGAAGGGGAAAAAAGAAACACAGGAATGAGAATCAGAGGAAATAAATGGAAAATATATAATAAAATTGCAGTCTTAGGTGCTGCCATAATTACCTTAAATGAATTGGAATAAATACATCAATCAAGAGAGCCCACAGTCCACGGGTTGACATCAGATAACAAGGGTACCTACCATTTGGCTTTCTGGGGTCTGTTCCCTGCACATCTGGGGGGCTGTTCCCAGCCTCCCTCTGGGGGGCTCTGCCTGGAGATCCTCGACAGGCTCTCCCCTCAGGGTCCTGGGCTGCGCTGCTGGTGGGATGCTGTTTGCTGGGGGTCCAGCTCTGCCTGTGGGGCTCAGCCTGGGTGCTGGGCACACAGGGAGGGGCTTGGGATCTGCAGGAATCTGGGCTCAGCCTTCCCTTCTGCTGTTCTGCCTCTCTTCGTTTGTTTTCTTCCTCTCGCTTCCTGGAAGCAAAGCCAAGGGGAAAGAGGAAAAAATTAGAAGAGCGTGACCCGTTCAAATATTCCTGAGTGAGATTTAAATTTTATGAGGAGCTACCACGTCACAGGAGGGATTTGGAAATTCATGATTACCACAATGTCACAATTTTCAGTCTTTTCTGCAGACCTTAGAGCTCAACAGAAGATGAAGCAGAGAAGAATCTTATAGATCAGCCTTTGCCCAGCTGGGGCACACATGATGGAAAACTATGTTTGTGAGATATGACAATCCTAAGGTGTGTGCGCCCAAGCTTGTGTGGGATCCCTGCCTGTGACTCCACGCCTTTTTCTCCTATTCCAGAAAGCACATCAGAATGCTGCTGAGAGTGCCAGTCACAGGGATGACCTTTAATCTTCTCTATTTCTTAAAAAAGACCATCGGCAAACCTTAGGATTATATGAAACGATTACTTACAAAGCACCTCATAACTGATTATAATACACCTGTGAGTTGCCACATGGCTATCCACAGCTCCAGCTAAGGAGGCAAAGCCACTCATTTTGCAGATGAGGTCCAGAAGGCAGAAGGATTTTCAAAAAGTCATACACAAGTCGTGGTGGCGAGGCTGGCACCTGTGGATAGCAACGGACTAGAAGAGGGCTGGCCAGGAGAGGCCAGGAGGAGAAACGAGAGGCAATGGGAAGAGGATGGGTCTGTGACAGCCCAGTTCCAGAAAGGGGCAAGTTGCCTGAGGATGAAGGAGCTGAGTTAAGGACAAGGTTTGTGTGACCAATAGCATCAACTGGTAGGGATTTCCAGGGGAAAGAAAGGGGGAAGACAACTAACATTTATTGAGCATCTTCTGTACTGGGTACTGAGGACCATGGGGTTCGAGCCTCCCTAGAGGAAACTTCCATTCAGAAGGGACACTGAGGAAACAAAGACCTAACAAATAATGGAGGAAGTGCTCTGCTAGTGTGCTTACACAGAGCAAGTAGTGATTAGTTTTGTCTGGAGGAGTCCGGAAGCTCCCAGCTGGGGCTTCTCAAAGATGTGAAGTCTGCTGGGGCAGATTGGATGGGAATGAGGAGTTCGGTGGGAGGGAGCAGTCTGGGCGAAGGCAAGTAGTGTGGAAAACTGGGTCTGTTTTGCCTCTTCTCATCTTTGAACGATGCTTGCTATACCCAGCAGGCACTCAATGCAGATTTGCTGCCCAGATGACTCAGTTATTGCTCAGGAAGAGAATTAGGTGGCCACATAAGGTTCAGGTTCAAGTAGAATGAATGATTCGGTGTAGTGGAGAGAAGCCCACGCCGGGAAGTATGAGAAATTTTCTAGTCCTGCCCCTGCCAATAACTACATTGAGCCGGTCACTTTCCTGTTCCTGAGACTCAGTTTCCCCAGGTCTGACACTTGTGTGATAGTTTATAACCTGGAATTGATTTAGGGGTCTGTTTAGAAGCCAGATGTCTTTACAAAACCTGGGATATCTTTTGTAACCAGAGAGATGTCTTTTATTGTTATAGTTGGTATCAGAGTCCCTCTTGGGGGAGGGAGGACCTTGTTTAGACAAATATTGTAATCAGCTTCAGAACGGACCTGAGGGCTGGCAGCAGGTGAGACGTTTAGGACCTAGGTGGTGAGTGGCCCTGAGGCTCCAGGGTAGGGCTATTCTGTGGTGCCAAAAAAAAAAAAAAAAAAAAAAAAAAAAAAAAAAAAAAAAAAAAAAAAAAAAAAAAAAAAAAGAATGTTTGACGCTCCTGACAGGAGGGAGGAGATGAAAGAACCAGAGAGAGAGAGAAAGGAGGGGGAAGAAAGAGAAGATGGAAGTCTTAGCATTGTGTAGAGCAAGGGCCAGGCCAAAGAGAATCCTCCATGGTGAGATGATGGAGGACTTTACATCTGTGCTCGTCACACTTTAACCCACAGAGTCTCCTGACATCTCATTAAAATCTAGGTTCTGATTTAGCAAGCCTAGAGTGGGGCTCAAGGTTCTGCATTTCTAGGGGCATCTGGGTGGCTCAGTTGGTTGAACTTCTGATTCTTGGTTTCAACTCAGGTCATATATCCTGGTTTGTGAGTTCAAGCCCCGCATCAGGCTCTGCATTGACAGTGCAGAGCCTGTTTGGGATTCTCTCTCTCTCTCCCTCTCTCTCTGCCCCTCCCCTGCTCACATGTTCTGTCTCTCTCTCAAAATAAATAAATAAACTTTAAAAGAACAAAAAAAGGCTCTGCATTTCCAACAAGCACTCAGGTTATACAGGTGCTGTGGGTCCCTTGAACCACACCTTGTGTAACAAGGCTTAAGAGAATAGAAAAGTGTCATATGGACTGTGAACTACACCAAGATGGGCTATGAAGTGCGATTCTCCTCAGTGATGCAACTTTTTGTAAGGTCTACTAGGCTCATACCACTTTTTTATAAGCACCCTGACAAGCTGCAGAGCTAAGATACCAGACATGGAAGCAAGAAGCAAGAGTGAGGCAGAGGCACTAAGCCTCTGCAAAGTCACAGAATTCAGATTTCCATAGGCTGTGGGATTTGAAGCAATGCTTGTTTAGATCTCAAGGGACAGAGAAGACCCAGATGTAACCCGCTATCTGGGTTACACTCTGATATAAAGCCTTGTCCACTTAACTTCCCCTTCTGAAGGTTTTTTGTCCTGTGGTGAAAGCTCCCGATCTGGGGTCCACACTTGCTTATCTAATGGGTTCCCACCGGCTCCCATCTGAGCAGAAGTGGCCAGATGGGTTGTGCTAACTCCTCTGTCGCTCTGATGTTTTCATGTGACTCTGGTTTTGTTCCACGCTTTGCCAACTGCTGACGCCCGAGTGTGCGGCCCTGCAATCGACAGGCTGGCTGGACGGCCTGTCATCATCAGCGCCTGAGATTCGTACGGATGCTAGCAGGTGCCAGTTCAGGGTGAGCTGTGCGGGAGAAGGCTGCTTTTCAGAAGGTGGAAGCATCTGGGTGGCTGAAGTGCCGCTAATTGATCTAACAGCCTTGCTCCTGGCAGGCAGGGGGACGGCCTCTCTGTTTATGAGCCCCGATGAAGAGAACTGCTCTAGGAGAATAGTGGTCATTTCGACAGACACACACGTGCGGTTGTCTGGCTTGGCAGCCACATGGATCTCACTGCCATTAAGAAGGGCTTTGAGGTGATAAATTAGACTTTGTTGTTTGAGCGGTCATTTCTCTTTCTTTGGGGAAAGCAAACAGCTTTCCTTTTCAATTCCAAGAAGCCACTTACAATCAGCCCCTGGGCAACCCTTGTTACTGCACACCTTTCTGGGCCTCCAACAGAGACAGCCACAGGGCACACAGGGGATCCAGCCTTTTAGAGTGATCAGGATGTCCAGAAAGCAGGGGCCCTCGGCCTTCTGAAGACTTCTTTGGAAGGGGAGGTTTGCAGGAGGGTGTTGTTTTGTTTTGTTTTGTTTTCATTTTGGTAGAACCAAGTAAAGCAGATTTGGAAGAAAGAATGCAATTATCAGAATATATCATTAGACCCTCAGTCTGTGAATAGAAATAAATTAATGTTTAAAAAATTTGACTCATTAACAAAAAAAAAAATCTTCCGGGCGGCACACCGCCCACAACTGTGCAGTTCTCCAGAGCTGTGGCTCTTGATGTAAAAGTAGTGATCGCTGGGGAAAAGGGGGGCGGTGGGATTAGAGCTGGGAACGATGCATAACCTGCATCCTATGTATATACCTGCTGCCTTAAAACAAAAGCAACAACACGGGGTGCCTGGGTGGCTCGGTCAGTTAAGTGGCTGACTTCAGCTCAGGTTATGATCTCACGGTTTGTGAGCTTGAGCCCCACGTGGGGCTCTGTGCTGACAGCTCAGAGCTGGAGCTTTCTTCAGATTCTGTGTCTCCCTCTCTCTCTGCCCCTCCCCCCACTCACATTTCCTCTCCCTCTCCAAAAAGATTAAAACAAACAAACAGAACCAACGACAGCAACACACATGCACACACAGGATACAGCCCGAGAGGAGAACATGAGCCTATGCATATCCCTGGGGAATAAGGTCCAGCGCCACTGTTCATGGCCCAAGTTCAAAGGAATTTCAGGTGATTCGTTTTTATTTGGTAGATAAGGAAAATGAGGCAGAGAGGTAAGTGATTTACCTATGGCTACATGGCAAACTACATACAGCTGAGCTGGAACTCAGCTTTTCACCCCTCCCTGTACAATTTACCTCTGTGACTGAGTCGTTTTTTTAACATTTCACTTCATCTTTTTCTATCATTTAAAAAATGAACTGGGTCATAAGAAGAAACTGCCAATATTGCATCAGAGTGGCCATTAACAGCATTTCAACCTAGCCCCGGATGTAGCCTTTCATCCTAAAACTCTCAGATGCAGTAATTGTCCTGAAATTTAAGTGTTTTTTCTCCAACTAATTTATTACAGAATGTGTAAGTTCTAGTAATCTTCGTGGGGATTATGTTATAAACTCGACCTATTTTGGTCCAATTTAGCAAACAAACACTAGAAAAAGAATCAGTGCTATTCTAGTTTATATGAAAAACTGAAGAGAAAAAAAAATCCTGTCTATGACACAGCAAGTAACATTTTAGCAGGAGATTTATTAACATGGTGGAATGTTCACACACAAAATAGTCCTACCTTGTCCTCTCCTTTTTTCTATTATCTTAAGGGAAACTGACCAGAGCAGTTTTCGAAGGACTGCCAATTAGTCTGGTTTGTACAGTCTTTTCTAGAGCAATGCTTATAGCTCCCCAGAGGCTCAGAGTATAAAAAAGGGAGAAAGTCAACTGAAGATGACATCATTGGCAATGTCCATTTTGGGTCCTGTGCACCACAGAGCAAAGAAAGTCTCCCAACTGTAGGCTGAAGGACCTGGGGCTGTTTCCCCCAGGGCAGAAAAGATTTAAGGGACACATTGCTGCTGCAGATCTCTGAGGTGCTATTGTGAGGCACTGGTGTGCCCTGCAAACCCTCCAGATCAGACCTAAGTCCCAAGGATGGGGATTTCTCCAAATTAGTGGCCTA